AAAATTCAGAATAAATCAAATTATAACCTATACTTTTTAAGAATCAAAATAATAAAACTGTTTTAGATAATATAATAAGGTTAAGAAAAGTCCATGATTGATGAAAAAGAAAAAAAGAGAATTCCATGATAATAACAATTTATGTATGGTGGAAATTGAATGACTATAATTCTTAGTGTTTTAATTTTTATAATGATAATAATAGGAAAATGTTAAATAGGGTTAGGACAAAAAAAAAAGCATGATAAAGAAAGAAACAGTTGAAAATGTTTGATTAGAAGCAAAATTGCATGGAAATGACGTCATGTTGGTTAAGGTTTTGACAAAAAACAAGTAGAAGAGAATGGGAAACTTGCCATGTTCCTAGTTGGTGAGGAGCCCTAATCACAATTCTCTTGCTACTCTTTGTGTGTATGTTCATATATATCTACATATTCCTCACTGTCACACCCACAATTCCAAATTCCAAATTCCAAATTCCAAATTCCAAATTCCAATCAATCACAGCTACCAATCTCGTTTGTAATGTATTTTTTTTTTTATTTTTTTTTTCAAATAGCAAATACATTAACATATAGTAAGTACCATACAACTTCTTTTTTATTATTATTTTTTTATAATAATAAAAAAAAAAAAAAAAAAGAAAGAAAGCCTATGTTGATTATTTTTTGGGCCATAGCCTTTATTTTAGAAAGTTTGGATCAATTGATGGAATGTGATCCTCCACCCATATGAAATTATTTGTTGTTTTTTTATTATAGAAATTTATATATTTTATTAATTACACAATACAAATACGATTAATTATAATATAATATTTTAATAAAATAAAGAGGATAAATATTTCAATTCAAATTTACAACTTGACATGGAAAGAAAAAAATTTATGAGGGTATAATGGAATTCACACATTTCCCCATCCCTACAACTTATTACTATCACTACTTAATTGATTTTGATTAATTAATTAATTAATTTATTCCATGTTCATTGTGTATAATTATTATAAAAGGGAGAATTGGGTTTGGTCTGCCTCTACCAAAGGCCATTTTATTAATGAAGATTGTTTGGTAAGTGCTGCAAGACAGATGCTGTGTTGACTACTGGTCTTGGGGAAGTAGAAGTTGCCACTGTGCGAGTTAGTGTTGTTTATTTTGGCTTCATAAATAATCTAACATTTGAATTGATTGTAGGGTTTGGTCCAATCTCATTAAAATCTGCTTCTGACTTTTTTCTCTTTAAAATCATCTAAAGCAATATTTTAAGTGGGTGAGTAAAATACTTTTTATTTATTTATTTTTTTTAAATTTAAGAAACGTTTATATCTTCTTTATTTATAGAAGAAATAAGTAAGAGTTACATATCTATTATTTTATAGTAAAAACATAAGTAAAATAAATTTTAAGGGTATACGTTACGTGTTCATATAGAGAGAGATATGTGGTGAAAATGGTAGGCTAATCTTTTTACATCAAAGTTTTGGCTGTCTAATAACTAAAAAGTTAGTTTTAGAAAGATTTATAAAGGAGAAGGGAGTGGGTTTTGTAGGATCTTTTGGGAACAGTAGCCATGTGATGTGCTTCTAGATAATTGTGGTTAATTTAGCTTATACAACTATTAATTAATTAATTAATAAAAAGTTTAATGTTGAATTTGATTTAAACACATTGTTTTTATTATTAATTCTTAAAATTTAATTATTTGATGTATAAAGTTTAATCATTATTTAAATATTTGATAAATAATTTAATAAGTTTTGTTCATATTTTTTTGAATTTATAAGTAATAAATTTTGCAATTCATACTCTTTAAGAGAGAAACATGAAGGAAAGGCTAAAAGGTGTGGAAGGGGAAAGTAAAGGGACCACAAATGTAGAGGGTGTTCTTTAGGTTGGTAGTACATAAAAATAAAAATACACCTGTAAGTTGATTTTTTGCCTAATCCACGCTCACCACTTAATAATAAGGTGCCTTATATGTATATGTGTGTATATATTTATATATATACTGATAACCCAATATTTTATATGATTCTGAAAAAGAAACGCACAAATATTTTATGTATAAAAGGGGCATAGAAGCCAAGTGAGTCAAAAACTTAATAATTGGAAGCAAGAGTGTTTTGATATATATATATCTTTAACAATAATGACACCCAAAGCCATAAAACCTGTATGGCTTTTTACACCCAACATTGCAACTTTTCTAATTATTTTTGACACCCACACAAATACAAATTTATTTGTTAAATTTAAATCCAGTTATTTATTTTTTTTTTTTTTAAAAAGTAGTAAAATTAATTACAAAACGGAAATATGAAAATTATTTTATTTATTAGATAAATATAAAAAAATTTATACATATTTTTATAAATAAAAACACACAAACATAACATATAAATTAATGACACCAACAACTAACAATGTCTATTACATTTAGAATAATATATGGGCCCACTGATGGATGGTCCCAAAAGTAATAATCAATAATTATGGCACCCTGTCCTTTTACTATTGTTAAATTAAGACTCCAGCTTATACGTTAAATGAACCTCTTAATACTATTTTTTTGTTTTCAACTTTCGGCCAAATCTAACACTTTTAGAGGCCCCATATGTATGTATGTGTATGTATATATATATATATATATATATATATATTCAGACACAGTTCACTAATTAATTATTAACTCATCATGTTTCCCTTTTTACACTTAAGTTCCAACATTGAATATCAGCAATCTCGCCACAAACTCAGCCCAGACCAGCCCAGCCCTATCCCCCAGTCTGCTCAACCCAGCCCGAGCATATCCCCCATTCTTCTCAGCTCAGCCCAGCCCTATCCCCCAGTCCAGCTCAGCCTAGGCCAGTCAATCCCTCTCCCCCAGTTGAGCTTAGGACCATGTCAATGCATATAGTCTAACCCAAACCCAGTCCTGATGTTGCTGCTCTCAGTTCAAATTTCAAACTTGACTGCGCTTTAAATCTATTAAAATAGGAATCCACACCTTAGGTCTAGGATGAATTCACCAAATTAATTTTATTTTCGGCTCAACTAAAATTTTAATGCAATTCAAGGCCACCCAATCTAAATTTATATATATATATATATATATATATTTAAAATTATTGCCACCGTTAAAAGTTCATATATTTAATTAAATTTAAAAGTAAAATATAAATTTCTTTATTAATTTCTTAAATAATATTTATTATTTTAAAACATTTTTTGAATACAACATAATACATAATTATCTTGTGCTAAGCAAAAGTTGAAATTGAAACTTCTAACATGAATAAAAATAGAGATAACTGCTGAGTTAAAGTCCCCTGACTAAAATAATTACACTTGAAAAAATAATACTTCATTACTATTTTAGAAACAAAAGTAATAACTTACACAAAAAAAAAAAAAAAAAACAATTTTAGCTTATATAATAAAAGAATTAAAATGTAATTTATACTACTCATTTAGTAATATTTTCATATAAATCATTTAATTTAGAATAAATATGTATAATAATTACGAAAAAAAAAATATAGCAGATCATGGTGCAGCTACCATATGCAGCCACCATTCTTTAATGCACCATATCGTTAAAGCATGAATTAACATTTTGTCATGCCTCTCCATGGAGTATCAGCAGTAACAAATCTTTAACGTGAATAAAAACTCAAACGATGGCTGAGCCAAAATTCAGTAGTTAAAAGAGAAGGAAAAAAAACCAAGTCTAAGATTTGCTCATCTTCATTCCTAATTTTGTGAGTTGAGACTCATCAGCAAAACTTGTAATTGGTTCAGCCTACGATTCTATAGTCCAAGTAGCCAGCTCTAATTGTGGTTCGGTGAGGTGCACCAACCGACCAGCTTTTACATGAACATATTAATTTGATGAAAACACCAACTCATTACCAAATTAATTATTTTCCAAATAGAAAAAAGATACCTCACCACTAAAGGCAACTTCAAATTAGCTCAGATTCTTAAACTAGAGACCAAAAATACAAGTTAAAAATTCTTATAACTTCATTGAATGTATGTTTTTATAATGTTTAATTCATTAGGTAAAATACCTCAAGTTTATTACGTTTTTTAAGTAATTGGAATAATTACAATAGCTTTTTCAATTAAAAGAAATCTAAACCTAGAGACGCCAATAATGATTTGAACGAATTTCTAAATTTGAAGTTTCCCAGTTGGATTTTGATATACATATTTTGTTTTTTCATTTGAGAGCTGCTTGTTATTCTGCGGTGTGTATGCGTGTTTGTGTGTGTGTATATATATATATAGGTTTTCACGTAAAGAGATAGACTTCACATCAGCTTCTTCAAGTATAGTAGTAATCCCTGACTATATGTACATTCATCAGGATTTGAAAGTAGAATACTCATCTATTCTACTTAGTTCTACAAAGAAGCTAATCGAAGCCTACAAAAAAAAAAAAAAAGAAAAAAGACCAAATATCCAGCTTTGTCCAACTACAATGTCTCCTGTCAAAACAAACCATTCGCATATCAGTCGCTATACATTAATACTCTTTACCAAATCTTATAAGTCGGTGCTTTTCTATGGTTAAAAGCTTACAAAAAGAAACTTGTCATGGTAATTCTTTGGGTGGGTAAAATGATCATGGTTTTTAATCTGGTGGAGTACTATTCACGCATCGTAAAATATTTTAGTGGGAACACGAAAAGATGATGGAGGGAAAACGTGTGAAAATAGAAAATTCTTTGACCCTATCAAGTTGAATCAAGAAGGAAAGGGAAGATATGGAAAATAGATCCCAATCTTTTGCTTATTTCTCACGAATAATATCAAAGGCTGATAATAATTTTTATGAAAACATTCGAATCTTCTTTATGTTACGAATAACGAAACTTCGAAAGAATAAGATCGCGTCAACTCTCTGAGCATCGAAACATATGATAATCTCTCTTCCCAAAACCAAAGGAAACAATAAATTGATAAAATAAGAACAGATAGCAAGTCTTAGAAAATATTCACAATCATCGCTGGATTGATCAGCGATCTTTAACGCAAAAAAAAAAAAAAAAAAACTGAGAAAATTGACAAAAGAAGGAAGCTAACCCTGATTGATTTAAGTTTCACTGCAATGCCTTGACGGTAGTGCTGTCGGTCTTGCCGCTGAGAGGCGAGCAAGGCAACATAGGCCTAGCTAAGAGCACCAAATCTACACGATGATACCTCTGATGGTAACAATGCTTATCATGATGATTGCAATAAACAGCGACTCCACAATTGGCAACCTTATCTTCACCAAGATGCGAGTCTTCCTCTATGATCCTCAAAACCTGGCTGTGTACGCATTCCTTCCTCCATTTCCCCACCGATTTTGGAGACTCCTCATCTGACGATCTTCCGCTTTCCGTTTCCATTTCTTCCGAAACCTTCCCGACGATCTTCTCGGTAAATTCACCGGCTGTGTGCTCCGGCGGTGTTAATAACTCAGTGGCCTTCTGTTCAAGATCGGGGTGAGAGACGCGATCTTGAGTTTGTTTGGTTGTGTTCACTGTCATTCTGATAAGTTGAATCCAGGGAAGAAGACGATAAAGAGAGGGAGAGGAACAATCCAAATCCAAATCCAAATCCAAATCCAAACCCAAATCGAATCGTGTTATGGCTTGGTACTTATAAATGGTGAAAGGAATAAAACGGTACGTTTCAGAATATTGAGGCGGTCGTTTTGATGCTCTCCTAAAAAAGTGACACGTGTATAGTCATTTGAAAACATGTGGTAGGGAGAGTGAGGTGGGGTTTTGAAGAGACCAAAACTTTGTTTCGTTGTAGTTGAAACGGCAAGGTTTTTGGGAAATGGATCTACATTTGGGTGCCACGTAGCAATATGGGTCCCGCATAAGTAGCATGCCAAGTCACTTGTGACCGGATATGGGCAGATTTTTTGGTCAATAATTGTTTGTTTGAAGTGATAATTCATATGATGGAAATAATAAATTATTCAAAAAAATAAAGAAAGGCCGATATTGCATTTCGAAGTGGAGAAACATGATTGGTCCACGTCAACGGTTAATATACATGATTGTATAAATAATTTTGAATTTAAATAAACTAATAGTTTGATTAGGCAAAATGAGGTCCACGTGGCAGATGACTTTTCTTAGGAGAGCGATTGGTGGGTACACGAACACGGGATTTGGGAAACAAATGGCGTTCTGGAGCGCAGAGTGTTATTTGATGATGTTGATAGATTAGTGAATATTAAAAATCATTTTTATATTTGTATTAAAATTTATTAATATTTTTCTATATTATAATTGTGTTAAATTATTTTATAACATGGTATTGGAGATTTCTTGAAATAAATATATTTCAAGTTGTTTGATATAAGATTTTTAAATATATATATGGTTTTAAAGATGTTATTGATATAAGATTTTTAAATATATATTTGTTATAAGTACTTTATTATTTACATTATTTTATTTAAATATATATTATTAATTTTAAAAAGATACTTAAAGATTATCAAGTAATAGTTAATTTATTAAAAAAAAAACAAAAATTCAAAATTTATGAATATGATACTTGTTTTCTACCATCTTAAAACCACATTTAAATAAATACTCAATTTTTTATACCTTATACATTACTATTTGAATACCATGCTTAAACTTTGTAACAGCCCAA